CCGGCAACCCGCCGACGGCTTTCAACTATTCTGGAGGTCCACCGGCTAATTCAAGCTTGGCAACTACAAATGGGACAAGGCTTTATAGGCTAGCTTATAACTCAACAGTTCAACTTGTGTTGCAAGACACTGGGACTATAGCCCCTGAGAACCACCCTATCCATTTGCATGGATACAATTTCTTTTCTGTGGGTAGGGGAGTTGGGAACTATAACCCCAAGACGGATCCTAAGAAGTTCAATCTTGTTGATCCTGTTGAAAGGAACACAGCTAATGTTCCATCCGGCGGATGGACAGCCATCCGATTTATCGCTGATAATCCAGGTAAATTCTATTCATTCAATCATCTTAAAAAACTTTCATATATAACCTCTTTCTCACAACATACACGTAGAATCCACCATTATTTAATGGGATTCACACGCATGTTGTAGAGAGATGTCACACATGACCAGTGCATACAGTTTTTAGTTGGTCTTAACTCTCCCCTCCCCAATTTGTGTATAAATTTTAGGAGTTTGGTTCATGCATTGCCATTTGGAAGTGCACACAACATGGGGGCTTAAGATGGCATTCTTGGTGGACAATGGTAAAGGACCTAATCAATCTCTTCTTCCACCTCCAAAGGATCTCCCAAAATGTTAACCTAGCCAAAAGGAGCCTCTGTTCTTGCAAGTAGAGAAACCTAACGAAAATTGAGCTGTGCAGACTCAAGGGCACACACATGGTCAAGAAGAAGAAGAAGAAGAAGAAAGAGAGGATGAATAAACAAACAAATTTATCTATATGTAGATTCAAGCTTTGTTGCTTGAGTGAATGAAACAATTTGCTCAAGCAAGTTTGAATTAATTTTTGGATTGCTGAAGTTGATAATATACACTTTTATTTTTATTTTTTTCTCAAGAATTAATATATGTATTGGTCATGGATGTGCAAGTCTTTGTTTATGTATTATAAAGTTGTGAAATGGGATTTTCAAATTTCCTTTTTATGATCTCCCTATTTATTTATTTTTTATTATTTTATAAACGATAGTATTAGTGAATTAAATTATCAAATGTTAGGGAGGAGAGAGATCAATGAGAATTAAACCCACACTAAAATATATAGACATTATTATTAGGGGCATTTTGATCCAAGTCCAAAAAAATCACTTACTTTCAGACCAAGTCCAGTTTCATTTGATTTGTTAGTATGTCCATTTTGCCCCTTAAAGTAAAAATAAAAATATATTTTAATTTGTTAAATTTGAATTTCAAATGCCTTTATCTACTTTCTCATAAAAAAAAAATTAAAAATCCATATACAAAAAGTGTAAGGTCCCACATCGCCCAGAAGAGTTATCCTTATATGTATATTCCCATCCCTACCTAGCACGAGGCTTTTTGGGAGCTCACTGGCTTCGGGTTCCATGGGAATTCCGAAATTAAGTGAGTAGCGCGCGAGAGCAATCCCATGATGGGTGACCCACTGAGAAGTTCTCGTGTGAGTTCCTAGAAACAAAACCGTGATGGCGTGGTCGGGGCCCAAAGCGGACAATATCGTGCTACGGTGGTGGAGTGGGCTCAGGATGTGGTGGATCTCGAGCCGGGATGTGACAACAAGTATGATAAGTTTATCACAAATAAAAGTAAAACAATTGTGAGAGGTAGATAAAAAAAATTAAAACCTGTGATAGATGGACGTAAGTTATGTGTTTTTGTCCACCTTTATGGGTGGAAAAGGGTTTTCATTCTACCTCTGTGGGTGGAATTAATTAATTAATTTTTATCTACCTGTTTTGGTGGAATGATTTATGCATCTTCAATCCTCCTTGTGTATAATTCATGGCGCACCCAATCCATCCTCCTCGTATGGCCAGAGTTTTTATATATCCATTTGATTCAATTTGTTTTAGTTTCTGTGCTTGTACCTTGGTGTTTGGGGATCTTTAATTATGATGCCATCTTAATTTGTTTGATATTCTCCCTTCTGTCCCAAAAAAACGAAACAAAATTTTGTTTACCTAAATTGGTGGAAGGCGCAGATCAAAGTGGAGCAGCAGTTTGGTGACTATGAGTGCTGGGGATGGAGGGTTTATTCCTTTGGTGGGGCATTTAGGATTTTATTTCCTAAATGCATAAGATTGACTAGTGCAATCTTTTTTTAATCCAATCAAATATATATTGATCATCTTTATGGAAGGAGGAGAAGCAGTAGATGAATATTATGGAATAAGATTGCTGGGTAGAATAATGCAAGAAGAGAAAGATATTGTGAGGGAGAAACAAGAAAAGAGAATTAAAACAAGAAAAGAAAAATGAACGGTTTGTGGAAGGAGAAGAAAAAAATGAGATTTAAATCCCTAAAAATAATCCTATAATTAAGGATAAGATTAACTTTAATCACAAATTAAACAAAAAAACAATAATTACTTGATTAGTCAATTTTAAGGGTAAATGTGGTAAGAGAATACAAATAAGCTGATGAGGACAATAAATTACTGGACCTAGCTCAAAAATTAAACAAAATTGGACTCTAACTAATAATGACTTGTAAAATTAAAGTTATAATAAGTTTTCCCTTATTATTTTTCGTCACTGCCTTAAAATGTTATCCGTTTATCACCTCTCTTCAATATCTAAACTCTCAAACACAGCCGCATATTTGGAATTAAAGCAAATCCTAATAATGTCTCGAATCTCCACCAAGTACATGACTTGCAATTAAAGCCAAAAAAAAAAGAAAAAAAGAAAAAAAAAAAAAGATCTTGAACGAAAAGCTTCTGATACTGTTCACTTTAACGAAAAATTATATTTTTATACAAAAAAATCAATCATAATACTATTCACTTTACCTTTATTTTGTTCTTATCGTTAAAGCTCAAAGTTTTCAAACTATTTTCGTTAGTTTTCCTTAAAAAAAAATCCTGGTTTGGGGGCCATAAATTCTTAAAAAAAAAAAAAAAAAAAAGTCTCTAGTAATATGACATATTTTATAGAAAAGTGGTTCTTACGCACAATTTTTCTTCTTCATACTTATTTCTAGTTATCAAATTAATTTTTTTTTCAAAAATTAAATAGATGTTTTTGAAAGAAAAAAAAAATATTATTAGAGGAAAGGAAGGTGTTCAAACTATTATATTAATAAAAAAGGAGAGATTTCAAATTCGGAGCTCATAGAATAGAAATTCTAAGGTTATCTACGACTGAAATAGCATAGACCAGTTCAGAATCATAGCCCTGCTAAAATTTATTTTAATAAATAGTGTCAGATCATACTCATATATCATCTCCAACCGAAGGCTGAAAGGGCTAAACATAGCCTCTCGATAATTTATGAGTGTTATGTTTTTATATTTTAAATTTATTGGTTAATTTAATTAAACTATTGTTGGTTGTTTTTAAATGTAGCTGTTGAATTTGAATCAATTATTACAACTGAGAAGCTGGGTGGCTAAGAAGAGGCTACATTTGGTCAGCCTGATGCCCTTTTGGCCAAATAATGGCATGTGAGCTCCATAGAATTATAGCCTAGCCATAAGTTGGAGATGGCCTAAGGGAAATTTTCACGGACTTTCTGCCACCTCACTGTCTAATGACAATTTCCATGTCAACAGTATAAAATATTGTATCAAAAGCTTGAGATGACACAATGTTCATAGAGAGTCGCACTTTTAAGAGAGTCCTCTTAACATTTCTCTTACATTTAATTAGTCTATAGTTAATTACAAAATTGGGGAATGTTCTAATTTCCATTTACAAAGAGACATTACTCATCGAGTGTGTCACTTTGCAATACAAACTTCCAGTTACTTTTTGTATAAATAGTTTAATAAACTTTTCGGTAAACTTCCACTTTTCTTTTTTCCTTTCTCAATAATGCAAACCAATTACTACTCCCAACTTTTCCTGCAATTAGTCCCTTTTCACTCTACTTTATATAGAAATTAGAGATAACCAAATAAAAACACTTCATCACAAACCATTTTTTGTTAATATACATCAATATTGTGTTGGGATGTCAACGTGAGAATGTGACTTTGCATGAAATAGTCATTTGAGGAGGTTTTTCATTTTTGTGTCATTCAAAGATCCGAAAATGCCTCTCATAGTTTTCTTGGTCCGTATAAATATGAACTATTATGGTGAAACCACTTGCTAGTTCTTAAAAAAGTAAAAAACCGAAAATAAACCCAGGTTTATACAAACCCATTTTACCTTACCACTTGAGTTAATTGCAAGGGCCGGCAGAATAAGTTTTTGTGTTCAGAAGATTTTAGAATTTGATTTGAAATATTTGTTACCTCATATCCCAAGGACCAATATATATGTTGAAATACAATATATTTTATATAGAAATTTAACATGATTGGTTATTTATTTGACTTTGTTCATATATACAAACCCAAAAGATGTATAAGCTTCAATTTCATGCACTAGTAAAAATTTAAGAGAGTTTATAAATTAGTTATAAGAAGAAAACGACTAAAAGACAAGTACTCCTAACAAGTACCCTAATACTTTTCTAATGTACATGCGCATGGCATTATATATGCAAGTGCACTTCTAACGACGGTTATTCACGAATTTCAACACACTTAATTAATTATGATTTTCACACTAATTAATAATTAATAATCCCTTGCCCATGTGTGTAGGATTACTACTTGATACTATAATTCAGTAGTATTTTTCTTTATTAGTAAGTGAGAAATTTTAAATTCAATTCTTACCAAAAGTAAATTTAAACTATATCATTGCAATCTCATTAAGTAGTTTTTTTCTTAATGTAAATAATATTTTTTGTTCAAAAAAATAATCTCACATTTTCAAAAAATATAATATAAAGTTCTATCTGGGATGTTTTACAGGAAAAAAATAAATTGGTCTGTTTCTGTGCGCAATTACCAAAAGGCCCACATGCGCATTCTGTCACCAATCAGCGAATCACAGGCTGTCAATTTCAAAGTCTCAACATTTAGTTCAGTTGGGCATCTCTCTCCCTGGTTTCTCTCTACTCTTTCCCCTTCTCTCTCTACTCGCTGCGCCCACAAACCCATACCACCAATCAGAATTCGACAACTTGACTTCTCCCATTTTTCACTCTCCATCTCTCTCTCTACTTTGTTCCTGTTCCATAGATCGCTCAGTCTCACAATCCCCCTTCTGCGTTCACTCCTTTCTCGCTCTTCTCCTCTTCTCTCTAGCTTTAACTCCAAAAGCTGCAAACCCAGCAAAAGAAAACATCAACTTTCCCCTCTGCAGCTCAGCTATGCAAAAAGCACTCTCCTTTTTCCACTTTCCTTAATTGGGTTCTTGCTTTCTTTTCTGGGTTTTTGTTATAATCGTCTGAAGTTTTCATTTCTCTCTGCCAGCGTCCATCTTTCTTGGAAACTTGATCTGGGTTTTACTCCTTTCGATGTATTTCTGAATTGGCTGTCTAGGGTTTATCTTTGGCAATCCAAGATCTAATATTTTCGAACTTGCTTATTGGATTTCCCCTTGGGTTTTGTAAAGGTTGGGTATTTTTCAGATTCCACAACCCGTGCTTGCGTTAAATCCCTCCGAGATTCCTTTCCAAATACTACGCCTTCATTAAAGCCTATTTGGTCACAGGGACCTCCACTTCTCTGCATTTCCTATCTGGGTTTTCTCTCTCTTTGAGCTTTCAAAGAGAGAGAGGAGAGAGAAACACTCATTGGCATACTTGCTATGTGATTCAATTGTTGCCCAGATCGGCCAAACTATTTGAAAAAAACCATGTTCCGAGGAATGGAAATTTTCTCTCCAAATCTGCAAAACTCCAATTGGTTGTTTCAAGAGAGCAAGGGAGCCGATTGGACTGCAGAAGAGAACAAGCTATTCGAAAATGCTCTCGCTTTATACGATAAGGACACGCCCGAGCGGTGGCTCAGTGTGGCGGCTATGATCCCCGGAAAGACTGTTGGAGATGTCATCAAACAGTACAAGGAATTAGAAGAAGATATCAGTGATATCGAAGCTGGGCTTATCCCAATTCCTGGTTACACTAGTAACAATTTCACATTGGAGTGGGTTAACAACCACGGATTTGACGGGTTGAAGCAGTTTTACAGTGTTGGTGGAAAGCGAGGCGCCTCGACTAGGCCCGCTGATCAGGAGAGAAAGAAAGGAGTGCCATGGACAGAAGAAGAACATAGGTACACTTACTAATTGAATATGTGATATATTTATTTGTCCTGGTATTTGTTGAGAGCTTTAATCCCATGTCGGGGATTTAAAGCCTTATTTACTTACTTGAAACCAATTAAAGCTTAGAAGTAAACATAAAGTACAGTTAAAAATCCAGCTGAACAAAGTTAAACGGTATATAGAGCTTCTTAAGCCGAGATTACGATGTTTTGAGGGCTAAAGTCTGTTTGATCTGGTAAATTAGGTTTAATTCGTACAATTTAATATACACATGAACAGTAAATAATCTGTTTAAAATATTGGCTTAATAGAAAAGTGCTTTTGGATTTGCTTGCTAGTGGTGTTCTGCTGCAGTTTTGATGTTGAAGCTTCTGTAAATATTGTACTACAGGCAATTTCTGATGGGCCTTAAAAAGTATGGAAAAGGTGACTGGAGAAACATCTCTCGAAATTTTGTGACCACAAGGACGCCCACTCAGGTTGCTAGTCATGCACAAAAGTACTTTATCAGGCAACTCACAGGCGGGAAGGACAAGAGAAGATCTAGCATCCATGATATCACAACAGTCAATCTCCCCGACGTGAAACCGGCCTCACCTGACAATACTAAGAGCCCGCCATCATCGGCTCATTCCTCAACCGTGGTGCAGCAGCCACACCAGCATCAGAAGTTGACTGGCACGAGCATTGACTGGAAATCACCCGACGAGGGACAGCATTTGGTTGGTTCTGCAAATGGGAACAACAATTTCATGGGACCGTTTTGTGGGATATCTACACACGTACCTAAGCTTGAGGAGCAAAGTTTTCTGAGTGGCAGTCTTCATGGATCTCAGTTTGGACATTACAATGCGAGGTTTGAGATGCAATCAATGCGATATCAGTGAACGTTCGTGCATTAGTTCAATGTTTTGGAGTGGGAGGAGGATGCGTTACTCGATCTATGGTGGACAAAAGTTAATGAGGACTTTGAGTTAGTCCCTAGCTCTACAAAAAGATCAGTTAGTTCATCTTCGTATTTACATGAAGCTTTGAGCTTTATGATCACTTGTAATGTTCTGGTTGTGTGCTTTGGGAGTTTTGAGTAAATAGTCAGAAACGAGAGAGTAATCTGGGATTGAAAATTTGCATCTGTTTATATATATTCTATATCAAGTATAATTTTCTGCAAAAAGTGATTTTATGGTACATTTCCATTTGCTTTTAAGATTTTTTTGCACAGTGATACCATCGATGCGCTATATAACTGTAGCATTTGAATCAAAACCCAAAAGTCGTGGAACGGGTAGATTCTTGAGTGAAACCGAGATTATCATTCTCTATTAGTATCTTGTCTGTTACATGACTTATATCCAGTGGTCGATTTAAAATTCGAACTTTGAGGGTCTCAGTGTTAAAGTGCAAGTTACTTTGGATATAAATAAAGTGGGAAATGCACCAAAAAAATTCAGTTTATTTACTAAGGTATTTTGTAGAAAACTTGGTGAGATTGTCGTCGTAAGTCAAACTATGTTGCGCACATGTCAACAGATATCAACATATACCAAAGCAATCTGATGAGTAATATCAAGAAAATTGTTGAGTGTTGTCGATGCAACTTATCGAGATATACTTAGCAGACATTACATCAAACACTTGAAAGGCTCAAAAGAGATCCATACCAAACATTCGGAATGTCCTCAAAAGATCTTTACATGTATATTTCCTGAACTCAGTGGTCCTGGAACCACCTTGGTATCAATACATATCCACCACTGCTTGTATAAATGCATGCATAAATCTGTTTATGTGCTTTAAAACTATCACAGTATTAACTTCATTACTATCTCTTTATCACGAAATGTTAGTATCCTCTCTTGTCACGTTGATACTAAAATAATTTAATGCAAGAAAAAAGAACTATGCTTGGTTTTACCCAATCCATGTCATGGATGCTCGAGTCCAGTGGATTACTTCAAGTGACAAAAATATAATTGGATCTCTTCACCCCTTACTCGTTTCGGTAAAAAAGGATTTTATATAATGCATCTGACTGCCCCTTAACTGGATCGAATCTTGACCGTAAGCTAAGACCAAGAGCCACTAATTCAAGTGAGAGGAATCAAAATACTCATTCATATTAGAAAAATGCACAACTCAAAAGGAATTTAGCGTGAGAGTTAATAGAAAAAACAAAGGCAAGATTAACATAATAAGTGTTTAAAAGGAAAAAAAATTGCGAGGGGTCACATATGGTGGTTTAACCCCTCGGCCGCATATGCACATTTCCCCTTATCTGATTGTATGTTTAATGAATATAGTAATTTCTCTCAAAAACGTTCTTGTGGAATGTAATAAACTTATAGTTGAAGTAATTAAGAGCGTTTATTATGCACTTAAAAATCTTATGTTCAAAACTCAAATAATTCAACAGAAATTCTGATTTTGTGAAATAATTCTCTACAAAGAGCCGTACAACAAAATAAATTAAAAACCGTTCAAATTCCCTCTCCCTCCCTCAAAAGCAAGCCAATTGTCAGTGATATCTGGTAGCCTTGGATTTTGGTTGACTGCCAATTGTAATCAACAAGAGGAATCATGGTTTAATGATTCTTCAGGTGTACTGTGCCATATAAAGCAAAACTTCAAAAAGTCACCCTAATCCTATTCCTATGGTATTTCATGGGACATCTAAGCCATAATGTTATAACTAATCAATCTTTATGTCAATTTCTGCATTACTTAATTTTTAGTTGGACCTTAACATATGGGGGCTTTGGATTCTTTGAGAAAAATAACATCCTGACTTTTGTTTATGCGTGAAAGCACTTTCATGACAAAAAGGATCTTCTTCCTAGTCAATTTGCAATGTGGATGGAATGATCTTGACTGTATAAGTCACCTGTGCTTGGATATCATCGAGCATATGAAACAGTTAATCACCCACGTAGTACTCGGTAATGACAATAAGGATGCGTTTACATAAGTGGAATGGAGTAATGTCTCACTTCGATTGGTTTCTGCTGATCCCAATTTCCAATTAATATGATTCCTCCTGACCCTAGTTCTTGATTAGTAAACATTGTCATAAGGATAAGGATTCTTTGACCGTTTAGTTAAATGGACAGAAAGTAAGATTCTAATGGACCAATTTCTAAGATGTAGCGTTATAGTTGAAAATTCTCCGGTAATAAGACCAATGTTGAAGTAACAATGTTATGGTTGAAAACTCTCCAATGACGAGAGGTCTTTAACATAAATAGTCCTCCACGCGTTTGATCTTAATATCCAAGTGTGCACTTGCTGATTTCGGTTGAAACTGAAGGATAGGTCTTGAAACTGAGAACTGTCTTGTCTTAGTTGACTAGGGTTGTGGATGAGCAGTCATTCCACCAAGCTCCATGTAGATTACATCTGTATGGAGCTGTCCTCATTGCAGAAGTTAGGATTATTTACCACCAACTTTGTGCTTGACTAAGATCAAGTAATTTTTTGGATAATCATTGTATGTATCACGTGCCATTTTTTTCATTGGAACTAAAAGATTTCCCCCCATGTTTTATCTAGGAGGTAAATCCCAAACAACATCCATTAGGCAGTTAAGCATTGGACAAGAATAGCACAATCCGTATTCTTATTCCTATCCCTATTCCCATTTCTATTCCCATTCCTTGAATTGGAGAGATTTTTCATAGTATCTAGAAAACGAGCATATATGTTGTATGTTATTATATAAGTGAGAGGAAACTTTAAAAAAAAATTACTATATATAATATATGTACCCGTATTCTGGACACATTAAAAAATCTCTGTTTGAATTGGACCCTTTGTTTAGTTGCTTGCTGTTGCTAATTGCTGGCACTAAAATTATTGTTTGCTTTATGCAAAAACCTTATGAAAAGCCTAGTGCCCACCATATTGCCTTGCACACCTTATTTTGGTCCCACCCACTAGACAAAATACTCGAGGCAACATGACCAAATTATAAAGAATGGGTTATCCCTACAAAAAAAAAATTTGAAGTATTAAGCCAATAGGATTCTCTTCGGATTTTTGAAATCCGTGAATCGTGTTCATTCATTGTACATCGTGCGATTAATTTTTGTCTAGTACTATTTATGTTTATTTTTAAATAAAAATATTTAAAATAATTTCTAACCGTACAATGTACAATAAACGGACACGATTCACATATCTTCAAAATCCCCACAAAAAAATCCGATGAGAATCAGGACTCAACTATTAAGTGACAAATTTACCCACTTTCTTTTTTGAAAGAAGCAACTTTTCTGCAAGTTGCATAGCAAAAGCACTTTTGGCTGCCTTTATTCTAATTTTGATTATTAACTTTTTATGTTTGATTTATGACCACATATACCTTAGTCTCTCACAAAACCCCCGCCCACTTTTTGGCTTTCTTGTGTTCCCTCAATGTTTATACAAAAGTATTCTGATTCTTCTCTCCAATAGTTTTGAGCTTTCAGTCGACATGCCTTTCAGCCATGCGTAAAATAAAATTTGGCAACCCACGTGACACCCAAGTGATGAAACAACAAATATGAGACGAGATGTAAATTTATACATTTAAAATAATTGTGTTTTTTTTTAATAATAAAAAGAATACATGTAATTAGTGGCAGAGTCAGAAATATTGTCATAGGTGATCAATTTTACATGAAGTGAGAGATTTAACTAAGTCACATATTGAGAGTCAAACCTAAAACTTTCCACTTGCAATTGAAAATGAGCAGTGCTAAAAGAATTGAACTCATTGTTGTTCATCAAAATAGAAAAATACACATCCATAAACAATATATATCTTAAATACTAATATATAATCTCTGATTCATTCTAATTGTGCAGTATCTCTATTATTTTTCTTTTTAGTGTCTAAGAGCAGTTCCATCCCTAAAAAAATGCGCCAGCACCTAGCGCATTAATTCACTCAGTGAACAGTGATAGATCTCAATAAACAGTAATAGGCCAGTTGCATCTCCATCCCTAAAACTAAATAGCCTAGTCAATTTTATTAAAATATTATTATTTTTTATTGTAAAATAATAATTTGACTTTTCTAACTCGGTTTCTCTCGCTCCCTCTGTTTCTTTCTCTTTCTTGCTTGGCTTAGTCTCTCGGTCTCTTTCTCCCTTGTTCGACTGCTGCATCTGCATTGTACATGCCTCTACCTCAAGGTCAAGGTAATAAACTGCACCTTCCTATTCGAATTGGGATTAGGGGTTGGGATTTCGAATTCAAAATCAAAGGTAAAGTTAAGGATTGTGATTTTGAAAGCTCAGAAATTGTGGGCAAAGGAGATTGTGCAGATCTAATTGAGGATGATCATAGACCAATTGTCTGGAACCCAGAAGAAAATTTAAAGAATTAAACTTTGATTTGATTTATTTCTTTACCGGCGGGAGTTGAAGGTTGTGGGAAGAGCTCCGGCTAGTTTAAAATCAGGTGCTTGGTGGTGAACGCCCCCACGGCCAACATCGTTGCGGCCGCCAAGCACATGATTGCTCACGTCAAATGGCCCGGCTTTTGGGTCTGTCGATTCTAGGCCGGTCTCTTGCTTGGTGTGGGCTGGGTGCTAGCCTATTAGGTTGGGGTGGAGCAAATTGAAGGGAAGCTCTTAGGCCAGCACCCAGGCTATAAAAAACAGACTGGCTTCCCTTCAATTTGCTCCAACCCAACCTAATAGGCTAGCACCCAGCCCACACCAGGCAAGAGACCGGCCTAGAATCGACAGATGCAAAAGCCGAGCCATCTGACGTGAGCAATCCTGTGCTCGGCGGCCGCAACGGTGTTGGCCGTGGGGGTGTTCACCACCAAGCACCTGATTTTAAACTAGCCGGAGCTCTTCCCACAACCTTCAACCTTCCGCCGGTAAAGAAATAAATCAAATCAAAGTTTAATTCTTTAAATTTTCTTCTGGGTTCCAAACAATTGGTCTATGATCGTCCTCAATCAGATTTTCACAATCTTCTTTGCCCACAATTTCTGAGCTTTCAAAATCACAATCCTTAACTTTACCTTTGATTTTGAATTCGAAATCCCAACCCCTAATCCCAATTCGAATAGGAAGGTGCAGTTTCTTACCTTGACCTTGAGGTAGAGGCATGTACAATGCAGATGCAGCAGTCGGACAAGGGAGAAAGAGATCGAGAGACTGACCCAAGCGAGAAAGAGAGAAACCGAGTTAGAAAAGTCAAATT